ATTTATATTGGCTGGTAATTGTATATGACATGTGAAGACAGTTTTGCTGTTGACCAGTAGGGGTCAGAAATGCTGATTGTATGGTAAAATACCCTTTAACCCCTGAAGGATACATGACATGTGTGACATATCATGATTCCCTTTTATTCCAGAGTTTGGTCCTTAAGGGGTTAATACAAATGCAAGGTTAACGTGAGATTTTGAGAGTGACCTGTAGGAGTCAGTGTGGTTTATGTGAAACAGTGTTCGTGAGCTATGCCCCAGCATTATAGTTGTATGACAGGGAAACAAACAGTGCCCGTTTGACAATATACAATAAGTGAACATAATAGCTTAATAACAGTCATTGTAACAAACCAAAGTTCTGTTCGTGGGTTGTAAACGCACGAAACGTGTGTGTAGTACAATAGTAAATGTATGAACTAGTTCCCGTTTGGTAGAAAATTGCACGAACCGCGAGCCTGGTATGTCAGGGAAACAAAACGAAATGAGCAGTGAGATTCAAAATGCACGCACAGAATTGCCTAGTATGTTTAGGCAATTGAAACAGAATGTGTTCCCGTTTGGGAGTATGCTAATGCTCGAAATGAGCCAGTGACAGATATAAACAAGTGAATTTAAACGAATGATATGCATGAACATGCAATGGTTTTAGGACAGATTTAGACAAAATGCAGCCGTAAAGTGAGGACCTGACCCGTGCATGGTGCCGTGGGACTGATGCCTGGCGTAACGGGTAGGTCGACTTACTGTTTGTGAGTCACTTGGACACCATCCACAGCGATAGATTGAAGAAAGAATGTGGTAGGCCGGAAAAGCCTGTGGCTGAATTCCTGACACAGCTCAGCTTAGAAAACCTCATGGAGTAATCAGGTAAAATGGCGTCTGGATGACCCGGAAGTGGAAATCATTCTGATGCTGACCTCAAGCGATATGAGTCAGGTAAGGGGTGTCCCTTATATATGGGAGTGAATTAATTTAAGCCCCTCCCACAAATACAGGCCAAATGGCTTTAAAACATGTTAAATAGAGGATCTCTTACTAACTATATAAAATTATGGCTAAGATATCTGTATGGTTAGCCCTACTAAGTTCTATGCTTTAAGTCATTATAGTGGTAAATAAGGGAACCACCTGCGGTTACAAAATAGTACATTTGCTCCCTGCGGTGCACTTCATATCTGAGAGTCAAATAAAACTGTCAAATACTGTGGTTACATCGCACTTTTAAAAATTCACATTTTTTTGGTGCTAAAAAATACATTTGGGGTGGGGGGCAGGGCCTGACAGCAAAGATAGCCAGGCGCACTTTTTAGGAGCTCCTGCAATAATGGACCCAAAAGCGAAAATACCAACTGACAGGACAGCATAAGCGGCAAACGGTGATCGGGAGCAGACGCAAAACAGCACCCAGCACACGATGATACAAACCCGGCACCGATACGCTGCGGAAAAGCTGCAACAGGCCATGCGGCCTAACCTAGCACAGAACATAAGGCCCAAGGAAGACAGCCGAGCTCCCTGCACGGTACGAGCTCCTACGCAACAGCCCAAAGCAGCCCTTTGGACCGGTGGGGGACATCCCGGTCCTCGCTGGGGACAATTACCCCCACAAGCACACCTGAACAAGCAGCAAACTTGCCAAGCAAACAAAATCCGCAGGGCCCGGCCAAGATGGCGGCGCGGCCCCAGGCCAAGCAACTGAGCATCCCACCACCCAAGCGGCCCACCACCCAAGCACACAAAGGACTTTGTGGACTTGCTACGATTCCACCTCTGGGTCATGCTTAAAGCCAGGAGACAACCCTACCAGAGAACGATGAGAGTGGTGGCGGCGTGGATTCGCCCGACCACCCGACATACCTTGCAATGGACTCCCCCTCACAACTCCAGAGCAGCCTCCAAACGAAACTGGAGCCCAGGCTCAAACAGGCGGGAAACGGCGCAGGCCTTCTGGACGCCAATTCTCACGACCCCGCACCGCAGAAGAAGATCCAATATACTTCTCACTCAGCGACCACAGAAAACAACGAGCAGCAAAGCATAAGCCTGCACACAGCGGCCCACTGATACCTCATACTCTTCCTGACCACCCACCACCACCGGAGGGGGAGGAACACAAGGAACAGTATATCTATTGCAGACAAGAGGTTTGAGTAAGGACACATGAAAAGTGTTGGGAATCCCTAAAGATGCAGGAAGAGCCAGAGAGTAAGACACTGGATTGATCCTATGAAGCACTCTATAGGGACCAAGGAATCTGGGGGCAAACTTCATGCTAGGGACCTTAAGCTTGATGTTGCGAGATGACAACCAAACTCGGTCCCCCACTTGGTACACCGGGTTGGCACTCCTACGCTTATCAGCAAAATGTTTGAAACATTCAGCAGCAGCCCCTAGAGCAGTTTGAACCTTAACCCAGGTATCCCGAATGGAGGCCAGACGCTCATCCAGAGCAGGAAGGGCAGTATCAGAAAATACCGCAGGGAGAACCGTAGGATGCCTACCATTATTGACAAAAAATGGACTGTGTCCAGAGGAGTCATGAACAGCATTGTTTCTAGCGAACTCGGCCCATGGGAGTAGTTCGGACCAATTGTCTTGTGTGCTATTAATAAAACAACGCAAATAAACTTCTAATGACTGGTTAGCCCTCTCAGCTGTACCATTGGTCTGTGGATGGTAGGAGGAGGAGAAGGAGAGATCAATCCCCAATTGTTTACTGAACGCCCTCCAGAACCTGGACACAAACTGAGAGCCCCTATCAGACACAATATTGTGGGGGATGCCATGCAAACGGACAATTTCACGTATGAAAATTAGGACCAAATCTTGCGAAGATGGCAACTTCTTGAGAGGAATGAAGTGAGCCATCTTAGAAAATCGGTCTACAACCATGAGAATAGTAGTGAACCCAGCAGAGCTAGGAAGCTCTACAATAAAGTCCATGGATAAGTGGGACCATGGAATCTCAGGAACAGGAAGAAGCTGCAACAGGCCACAAGGAAGTGCATGAGTCACCTTAGAAACTGCACACACAGAACATGCCTGCACATACTCCTTTACATCTTTCCTGAGTGAATCCCACCAAAATGATCTAGTGATCGCGGCAGTGGACTTATTGATGCCCGGGTGTCCAGCAGTTATATTGTCATGGAACACTTTCATGATATTAACCCTTTCACATAGGGGAACGAACAGTTTATCACACGGTTTACCACTGGGCGCCTGAGGCTGGGCCTCCAGTATGGTGCCAAGCAGTGGAGAAGACAGTGAGAGGACAGTAGTGGCAATAATACACTCTGGTGGAATAATAGGAGATGTCACCTGTTCCGGAGCTGACTCATTATCAAATTGCCTGGACAAGGCATCAGCCTTGGTATTTTTAGAACCAGGTCTATAAGTAATGAGAAAGTTAAAACGTGAAAGGAATAGTGACCATCTAGCCTGTCTGGAAGACAAACGTTTGGCATCCCCTATATATGCCAGATTTCTGTGGTCGGTTATGATCTCCAAAAGATGTCGCCACTCCTTGAGGGCAAGAATAATGGCCAACAGTTCTCTATTGCCAATATCATAGTTGCGCTCAGCATGAGACATCTTTCTGGAGAAGTAGCCACAAGGATGCAATGGTGTTCCCTGGCTTTCTCTCTGAGAGAGAACAGCTTCCTACCCCTGTCTCGGATGCATCAACCTCCAATATAAAAGGTTTACTAGTGTCGGGATGTTTTAGTATGTCCGCAGAGGCAAATCTTTGTTTAAGAGTCTCAAAAGCATTCACAGCCTCTTTGGACCATACCGTGCTACTAACCCCTTTGCGAGTCATATTTGTGATTGGGGCTATTACAGAAGAAAATCCCTTGATGAATCTTCTGTAATAGTTGGCAAAACCAATAAACCTTTGAATGGCTTTTAAACCAGAGGGTAATGGCCAGTGTAGTACAGCCTCTAGTTTTTTAGGATCCATTTGAAATCCCGATGCAGAGATGTTGTAACCCAAAAAGTGGACTTCAGGCTGGTCAAATATGCACTTTTCTAATTTACAATAAAGTTTATTTTTCAACAACGTCTGCAGAACCTGTTTCACATGGGAGTGGTGAGTTTGAAGATCAGGGGAATAAACCAAGACAAATGAGTAAATGAATTCCCTGAGTACATCATTTATAAAGTCTTGGAATACGGCCGGGGCGTTGCATAACCCAAATGGCATTACCAGATATTCATAGTGTCCACTACGGGTATTAAATGCCGTCTTCCACTCATGATTCTCTTTAATTCTAACCAAATTGTAAGCGCTCCTAAGGTCAAGCTTAGTAAATACTTTAGCTCCCTGAAGTCTATCGAACAATTCGGAAATGAGTGGAATAGGGTATGCATTTTTTACAGTGATTTTATTAAGTGCCCTGTAGTCTATGCAAGGGCGTAACTCACCACCCTTTTTCTCAACAAAAAAGAATCCTGCACCAGCTGGTGAGGATGACTTTCTTATGTGCCCTTTGCTCAAGGATTCTTTGATGTATTCCTCCATTATTTTACTCTCCTGGGGAGATAAGGCATAAACTGCCCCCTTAGGTGGCATAGCGCCTGGAAACAGGTTAATGGCACAGTCATATGCTCTGTGGGGAGGCAATACATCGGATTGAGCCTTGTTAAACACCTCCTGAAGTTTTCGGTATTGTATGGGAACTCCAGGAGTTTGGGGAGTGGTAGTGGGAAGGTCAATAGTATCCAATCTCTTTAGTACTGGTTTTATACATCTCCCCATACACTCTTTACCCCATTCTAATATCTCCCCATTAGCCCAGTCAATATAGGGATTGTGCTTACTCAGCCACGGAAACCCTAATATGTGTGGAAGTAGACAAAAATATTACCGGGTTCAATAAAAAGCGTTTAATTGACCATTACAATACACAGAGATATCTCATGGAGATTGGCAAGAAGCAATCTAACATCATGTTACAATTCCTCATATTTTATACATATGACCCGGAACTGGCCTTTCGTTTAGCTTGAATCAGAACTCCAAATATGGTCTTATTTCCTATTGGCTAAATTCTAGCATAACTGACAAATTTAAGGTTCAAAAGTTTAAGCATCCCATGATCTTTCTAACAGATAACTTGACCCCAGTCATGCATCTTACTTCCCTAAAATATCGCTTGTCTATGATAAGAGTTAACACATATAAGCCTTCCTCTTTCACAACTTAAGCACACATTTCACCTTTCCCCCCCTGGCAACATCTGACAAGACACGCTTTCAAAATAACCTTTCCTTTTGTAATCCAAAAAACAGTCCAGACATCCATTAATAAATTGTAGCAATAAAACATAGTTTCTTCTTATTTCTTAGAGTAAATATTCTTCTTTGATTATATTTTAAGATGATGAAAAAACAGCAAAATGGCTGACAGCATGTCAGTAGCAGGTTACATATGTTCACAGTCCTCCCTTTGGTGCTAGGACTTTCACCACAAAAAGCTCCGTGCAACACATCCATGTTTAGCGAAGGTCATTCAGTGAGCTAGTGATTTTAAACAGCACTTGCAGGACTTTCCAAATAGATGCGCACACGATCAATATCTTCACGAGAAAGCATGTCTGTATTCCAAGTCGGTATGAGTTGTGACCGGATAGGAGACATTTCAACATTCGAAATAGTGCCAGGGGGAGATGAAGGTGAACAGCTCTTGAGGATTAATCGGCATGAACACTTTAGGACATTCACTGCAACATATATAAACACAAGCATCAATACTACTAAAATAACTCCAATGAGAATACGTTTTCCCATTGTTCCCAACCAATTAGTTAAACCAAAACTCCAGTCAAAACCCCAATTTAAACCTCCCGAAGAAGTATCGTGAACTTCTCTAAGTTTAATTTGTACTTCATGCAATTTATCTACATCTGTATGAATCTGACCAGTAACATTATTTATCTTTAAACAACATCTTGTTTTTATTAGTGCACAAACGCCACCTTTGGAGGCCAACAAGTAATCTAGGGCGAAACTATTTTGCATAATCATAGCTGAAGCTTGTTCCTGTTCGGCGGACAATTTTTCAATGGCATCTCCTGTATTATTAAAGGCTTCATCTAGTATATCTGCTAACAAGTTTAATTTATACATTAATTCAATAACCCCCCCATGTAGGTACAAAACCTGCAAATAGCCTATCTTCTTCACCATATTTTACAGTTCTTTCGGTTTTATCTTTTTTGGAACTAATAACCTTTCTTTTATTCCTCACCCTTTCTTCAGGCAAATTTTCATGAAGGGTTAAAGCTGGGATAATATTACCTACATAACAAGTTTCCACCCAATTACATGGAAGTCTTTTTACTGCCCAACTACCAGATAAATAGTATACCCCAAATGGAAGATGAATATCAATAACACGAGAATCTGAGCAGTCAAAAATAGGTTGATTAATATAGGGCAGTAGCATAAAAAGATTGGAAGTTAAAGTTTGAGTATTAAAGTAGGCCCATCTCAAAATAGTGACATTTAAATGTTCATTCTGGTCATAATTATTATCCATGATTTCTACCTCAGAAGTCAAATTTACCCATACATGATTAGTAATCACCGGGATTCTATCCTTGATGGGACATTTTGTTAAAATATCTTCTAATAAGGGTTTCCAACAAAAAGCTTTCAATCTACCAGTACAAGGGGCAGAATTAGTTTCAGACCCACATAGATTATAAAGGACATTGTTTTCAAAAATAACAATAGCATTGCTTATAGGCTTAACAATCTTGTCAGGACTTTTCTGATCCCTGTTAGAAATTACTACTGCTCTGCTAGTAATAGGATATGTTAAATGAACCTTAGCAGGTTCGCCAGATTTGGATACTTCATTCTGAATAAATCCAACAAACCCCGTTTTATTTGCTCTTATTTTCTCACAAAGACCCATAAAGATTCCATAGACCATGGCACCCCCACAAAAGGATAACCATAGTTCATGGAATGCGGAACAAACCCACAAACCCAACAATGATTACTTTTGTTTGACAATTTATACAATTCAGTAGCTGTTTTAACGAAATGATTATCTATCTCCCAAGAAGAAAAATACTTGGCTCCCTGGCCCAAGCTACACGTGTATTAAAGAAAAAAAGAGGAGCTAACGTAGTGTAGAGGATGAAAAATTAAAAAATGTCATAATGACAATCATTAAGGACAATATAAGTTTAACCAGTTTGAGATTCATGAAGAAAAACAGTAGAGTTGACTTTGGATTAGAAAGATACTCCCCTTATAAAGTACCCCTTTTTAGAAGGGAAAACGGCTTCCTTAGTCCTCTATTCTTCCAGTGAAAAATCTTTTTCAGCGCTTGTCAGTTTACAATGGGAAATGTGGATCCAAGATTTAACCCCTGCGACTTTAACAGCTGAATTAGTGGTTAATAACACTTGACAAGGTCCTTTCCACCTTGGTTGCAACGCGTGCTTTCGTGAATGGTCTTTTATCATAACATAATCTCCAGGAGCGATGGCATGCAAAGGTTGGTATTCACTTGTTCGCTGTACAGCTTTTACCTGCATATAGAGAGACTAATCGTTTTGTTAGCTACATGCAATACGTCATTACTAAATCATCATTTATCTCATGAGAATAACATTTTATAGGTACCCCTCCTGTGAACAGGGATAACCCTGCTTTCGAGCTGGAGAGAATCTCATAGACATTAAGGCAAGAGGAAGTGCATCAGGCCACTTTAACTTTCTCTGCTGCAATTTTTGCAATTTTATTTTTCAATGTTCCATTGGCCCTTTCTACTGCTCCTTCTGACTGAGGATGATGAGAGCAATGTAAATGGTAAGGGATTTGCTAAATTTTTGCTATCTGTTGCACTACTTTTCCTGTGAAATGTGTTCCCTGATCTGAGTAAATGTGCCGAGGCAATCCATACCTGGGTATAAATTCTTGTAACAATTTCTTAAACATTGTAGACATATCGGCATGGCAACAAGGATAAGCCTCAATCCAACCTGAGAATGTATCTAATATTACTAGCACATACCGGTACTGCATTACCTTTGGTAATTCAATGAAATCCATTTGTAAATTTACAAATGGACCTCATGAACAGGGAGGATGATTTAGCTGCTTAATCCTAGGTCCCTGACCTGCATTGTATTGTAAACAAATAACACATGAAGAACACACCAGTGCCAATACAGATTCTAGGCCCAGCCTTGACCATTCAGAATTAAACAACAATGATGGCAATGCTGGTCTTCCACTAAATATACATTCTCCCCACCAAAATTACTTACTTCTTCTTCCCTCAGTATCACATACAATCCCTTTACTTTCAAATGTACCATAGGTTCTGGACCTTGGGTCACAGGTACACTAACAATACATATTCAGACCCCAATCTTCCTCTACATCTAGTCTGTCTTTTTCTTCTAATTGCTTTCTTGTCCCCTTTACCTCCTTGCAATCTGTTGCTATATGACCATATCCATCACAATTGAAACATTTGATAAATGTTCTTACATTATTCTGTGGGGGTCTTCTGGCTATGTTTTGTCTTGGCTGATGTGCATAATATCTAACAGGAATTTGTTCAGCTTGTAGCATTATGTGCTCAGCTTTTGCATTTTCCTTGATTTGAATAGCTTGTCAAATTTCTGATGCTGCACTTAATACAATATTAAGTGATTTATCCCGTCATCCCAGTAAGGATAACATCAATTGTTTTTTTTTACTTTAGCATCCAAACCATTTACTAAGGTATTCACTATGAACGGCTTAATTGATTAATTCGTGATATCTTCAAAACTTCCAAAAACCTTAATTGCTTCCGCATATTCATAGGGGTTTTCTCCTTTCTTTTGCACTATGCTATGTATAGTCAATAGGCTGGGTAAAAACAGTTTTTACTTTAATGCTGAGGAATGCATACCAATTCTTAAGGACAACATCACTCCTCTCATCAGGGCAATTTTCCCATATGTGTGCAACTGCTTGTCCCCCCACCCCTGCAGGCCATGAAAAAGGTGACTCGTTATATCCTGCCACCCATTTAGTATGTTCTGTAGGGGTTAATACTGTCTCCATTAACTCATTAAGATCTTATGCTGTGGGGAAATAGCTGGCACACATTATTTTTAAATGTTTTACAAACCCATTTGGATCTAGAGGGGGCAGGAAATGATACCTATAAAAATGCTATGTCTTGTGGGCTCCACGGTTGACAAATCCTCCGTGGTCTCCCATCATTATCCATCTGTCCCACTTCTCTAATAGGTAAAATCATAGCCTCACTCCCATCACTCTCAGGCAACACATTGCTACATCCTGATAAACCTGATAGTAACCACAGCATGATCAGCAAATCTTTTAGGCAGTCTAATATCCCTCTCAGGTCTACCACCTCGATGCAACATGGCCGGGGCACCAGCTAAATTTTGGGGTACAAGCTGTGGTGCATCAACCATCTGCTGAGGGGGGTGACCCAAAGGGGAATTCATAATCTCATGATTAATCAAAAAATCCTCATCATTATAAGGTGGAGGATTTTTAACATTTCTTTTTAAATTTTCCAGTGAGGGAAATAAACAGGCAACACCAGTACCCTCTCCTTTACATGCCCCTCCTGCTACACCTGACTGGGGGGAACATTCTTGTTTTTTCTTTTCAATTTCCTCATGCCATAACATATATGCAGACCATTCCAGTTTTGAAAGACTTTTTCCATTTAACAACATTGTTCTTAAACTTAACAACACCCAAGGGTCTAATGACCCCACCACTGGCCATGGATTTATATTATTCTTAGTTAACTTTGCCCATTTCTTTGAATACATAATATTTGAAGGGCCATATTTCTGTTTCATTAAATAAACTGGGGAATCACTGGGTATACTATCCCCATGATCAAGCTGCTTGCCATGATTCAACCCCATTTCTGTTACTTGTACTTTTACACACCACTATATCACCTTTTGAGAGATCGAAAGGTCACAATTTTCAGTTTGTATACTAACTGACAACTGGAGTTTACACAAAAATCTCTTCTCAAATGATGTTACAGTTTATCAAACTTTAAACCATATACACACAGTTATACAATTTTAACACAATACATCTTACTCAAGTGCTATGTTTAACCTATGAGTTTAAACAGTTAATACAAGACAACTTAATTTCACCTTGCTACGTTTAGACTGGGTGAAATTAAGACACTAAAACAAAATAATCCAATCTCGCTTTGCTACGTTTAGACTTGGGAGATTAGATTCATGTGGCTAACCTCAACATTTAGCCAATTAATACAAGACAACTTAATCTCACCTTGCTACGTTTAGACTGGGTGAAATTAAGACACTAAAACAAAATAATCTAATCTCGCTTTGCTACGTTTAGACTTGGGAGATTAGATTCATGTGGCTAACCTCAACATTTAGCCACATTCACATGACAGGGATATATCATATCAAAGAGACTCTCACCAACAGAGCTACGTTTAGACTTCTGAAGCCCCACCAAACCCCTATTGGGTCTGCGAAGTTTAGTCACTTAAGTCTTCCTAGGGGACTACCTGTCAGTGCTACCACTGATTCTAGAATCACTCAGACATAGACACTAATACTGCAGTATACTTTACAACATAGACATAAATAGTAACGTTACAAATGGTCAATAAAAGGCTAAGAAATCAGGTCACACAGACTAGCATTTACCTGCACCCTTCTTTGTTTCATGGACACTCAAAAATTACACTAATGCCATGTTTTATAAATGGTATGGCTTACCTTTCATATGACCGGTCTGTTTGAGTGCCCACGAAATGGTTGGCAGGTGCAGGTGTTCTGCTGGTGCCTGTGGTATTCTGATCCCGGACAAAGAGCCCCCAACTGTGGAAGTAGACAAAAATATTACCGGGTTCAATAAAAAGCGTTTAATTGACCATTACAATACACAGAGATATCTCATGGAGATTGGCAAGAAGCAATCTAACATCATGTTACAATTCCTCATATTTTATACATATGACCCGGAACTGGCCTTTCGTTTAGCTTGAATCAGAACTCCAAATATGGTCTTATTTCCTATTGGCTAAATTCTAGCATAACTGACAAATTTAAGGTTCAAAAGTTTAAGCATCCCATGATCTTTCTAACAGATAACTTGACCCCAGTCATGCATCTTACTTCCCTAAAATATCGCTTGTCTATGATAAGAGTTAACACATATAAGCCTTCCTCTTTCACAACTTAAGCACACATTTCACCTTTCCCCCCCTGGCAACATCTGACAAGACACGCTTTCAAAATAACCTTTCCTTTTGTAATCCAAAAAACAGTCCAGACATCCATTAATAAATTGTAGCAATAAAACATAGTTTCTTCTTATTTCTTAGAGTAAATATTCTTCTTTGATTATATTTTAAGATGATGAATAAACAGCAAAATGGCTGACAGCATGTCAGTAGCAGGTTACATATGTTCACATATGATAGGACATGATGGAGAAGTAATAACCTGAAACGTCATCTCCTCCCTATGGGAGGCCCCAATAGAGATCGTAATAGGGACAGTTTCGTGGGTTATAAGCGGTTGTGTGAGTGGTCTACCATCAATAGCCTCTACAGCTAGCGGCGTAGGTCTCTCCCTGACCGGTATCTCATTACCCCTAATAAACTGGACATCAATAAAATTTCCAGCAGCACCTGAGTCCATTAGGGCACTGCAAGAAAACTTATTGTTATCAAGGGAAATAGATACCTCAAGGAGGAATCTACTTTTGTTTTTGTTAGAGGACAACTCCATCACACCTAAGATCTGTCCCCTTAAGGTTCTTAGGTGCGGAAGTTTTCCGGACGCACTGGACAATTAGTTATCATATGTCCCTTTCTACCGCAATATAGGCATAACCCCTCCCTTCTCCTATACTGTTTTTTGGCCTCTGACAGTCTAGTGACCCCCAACTGCATAGGTTCGGGTTCGGACTGTACAGGGAGGTTAGACAAAGCAGGTTTAGAGAATTGAGGTGCTAGGGACATAGCCGTACGTCTGGTCTTGCTTCTGGTGACTTCTCTGAGTCTTAACCTATTATCAATATGCATGACAAACGTAATAAATTCGTTAAGACTCTTAGGTAATTCTTTAGCGGCTATCTCATCTAGTATAGTCTCTGAGAGACCCTTTTTGAATGCTGAGATTAACCCATTGTTAGTCCAGTCTACCTCGGAAGCTAAGGTACGGAATTCAATAGCATAATCCGAGATAGACCGGTTACCTTGTCTGATGTGCATTAGGGCAGTGGAGGCGTCATCCTCTCTACCCAATGGCTCAAACGTGAGCTTGAATTCGGCAAGGAATTCCTGGTAATTATGAGCTATGCTCCGATTACTCTCCCACAACGGATTAGCCCAGGCAAGGGCCTTGCCCTTTAATTGATTCATTAGATAACCAATTCTTGCTCTGTCCGTGGGGAATGACCCTGGTGAGGCCTCAAAATGGTACTCCACCTGATTAAGAAAACCCCTGCATTCCTGGATATTGCCATCAAACTGTAGGGATGGTGATAAGGAGATGCTAGGAGTCATATTAACAGTGGGTGGAGGTACACAGGGTAGAGGTGCTATAGGAGGAGACGCTGCAGGCTGCAGATGCTCCGTTCTAGCGAGAAGCGTACTTAAAGCCTGAGTGAATTGATCCATGCGGTGATCATTCTCCTCTAATTTCCTCTCGCAAGCAGCTATGTGCTGACACAGTTCTACAGGATCTATGGCCCTGTCGTAATGTCAGGATTACTGTTTGATCCAGCACGTAGAACTGTACAGCACGGATGACAAATAAGTAACGTATTACCGGTCCTTAGAATGGCCGGATTTAACGTACAAAGAATAGTCAAAAATACTAGCCGAGGTCAGGGAACACAGAAAGGGACACAGCGATGAGGAAAGCCAGGAGTCAGGATACCAGAGTATAGAGAAGTCAATAAACAAAGCCAAAGTCAAAAACCAGGTAGAAAACTAAAAACAGGAACGCGCTCTCGGACAACCACAAAGGAAACCACGACAGGGCACTGAGCAGGCTGAGAACTGGGCCTAAATACCCCTCCTTTCTTTCTGATAGGCTGTAACCGGCCTTTGACCCCAAAGTCAGTTACCAGGTTTCATTTGCATAATTGCTGCTCAGCATTAACCCTTCTGTGGATTAGGTTGCTGCTCGGCACAACTTTTCCTGTGTGGACAGTAAATGTCATTAACCACTTTTCTATAAGCGGATGAATACATGAGACCAGGTTTCATTTGCACAATTACTGCTCAGCATTAACCCTTCTGTGGATTAGGTTGCTGCTCGGCACAACTTTTCCTGTGTGGACAGTAAATGTCATTAACCACATTTCTATAAGCGGATGAATACGTGACACCCACAAAGCCTGGTGCGCCGGCGACCGAAAAGAAACAAAGCTAGATCCCGAGAGACGCAACAGGCAGAAAACCCACCCACGACATACCGGAGAGGAGACCCAGAAGGGACTCTTACCCAACTGCACAAGCAAGACTGCCAAAACGGGCATCGGTTGAAACAACGGAACCTCAAGCACCACACAGCCTACGGCCAACAACCCTGCCCATGAAGCAGAAACTGATATTTTCAGCAGACGGCGGCAAGGCATTTAAATTGGGCTTAGTGTTAGGCATGTAACCTCTCTATACCTAACTTACTCTCAGATAAGAAGCTAAAATTATTATTGTTTACTTCTCTGCACTTACCTTTAACATCAGAACCGGACTAATTATTAGTGCATGCCAACACACTGTTGCCCCTGTGGTTCTGAAGTGACAGAATGCCTTGGAAATTTATACTTTTCTCTTATCAGCAGCCTACACTAACTACAGGACTAAATGTGACGCAAATTACTGTTGTCTAGATTTTAACTTTTTCTGAATCCTGCTGCTGAGACCACTATAGCGAGGGAACAGAATTGTTAATAGTCCTTTGCATTGCTCTTGCGGATACACTAGCTTATACATTGCATTTGTGTAAAACAGGAGTTTCTCATTCTGTTAACTTAATATATATACTCATGTTATGGTAGCCTAAATGTTTATCACATAGTTATCAAACCGCCTTAACACTGTACCAGCGTATGTGAAGTTCTAATGTTAAGCTTGAACCAGCAATATATTGTCTAAGCATGTAAACTTTGTTTTGCGTAATAACCCTATGGCACTCATAAGCACACACTTGCATAGGTATTGCTACCCTACAGGCAACACATCTCAACCACACTGCAGCACGTCATACGAAAACATATGTAGTCAACCAAGCGAGAATCTGTCTACTTGCAATGCTGCCCTAGTTATAAACATCTTCCCTTACACGCCAAGCAAAGCAACATACCTTAATGTAACACCAAGCGAGAACAACTTTACTACGTACACACTCGGTCCAGCAGAAAAAGAGAAAAATGTGTCCCTACAATAATGTCAAAGGATGCTATTGAATAAAAATCTCGAAGATACTTTATTAAATCGAAACAAGACTAACATACAAAAAATATATGGGAAAATCCATAGCTGTAGCTACTGCACATAAACTAGTGTGACTCAAAAGAGAGGGGCTGCAGCCAGGACAAAAGAGTACAGGAAAGGGGGTAAAAAATGACACGTACGTGTATATAAAGATAAGGTACAGCCTAGAACAAATTTATGATAAACTAGAATATAGTGTAGAGGGTGATATTGAGTGCCGAGAATGATAATAGAACACGAGGTAGAAACTTGTTGAATAGACGTGATCAAGCTCTGTAATGTAATGGCTATAGCAACATATGTTAGTACAACAGTGTAACATATATGTATCTGACACTAAATAACATAGCGACACTGGTGTTCCAATAACCGTCAGACACAATGTACATAAATGTGTCTAAACTACGTGGAGCCCCAGTAGTAAAAGTAATAAACAAATGCTGGATTGTTCTCGGTGAATAGTACATGTCCCGCTGAAAATAAAAGTCCGCATAGGCATAGAACGAAATTCCCTCACAATACTATGCTCCCTAAAAAAGACAACAACTGAAGTCTAATAGCCAATAGTAACTCCTAAAACCGCAAATTGCTGGTCTATATACAAAAATAATAAATTGGAGCTAAATTATAACCCACATGTATGCAGTATATAACGCTGGGGTTAGCAAATAGATAAAGATAAATAGTAGGGAGTGAGATAGTAAGAATAGTGCCTTCGTGGGCACCTCGTATAGTAAAGGAGAGCAGAAAGAAATTCGAGGTTTGGTACCTATAGAGTGATAAGAAAAAGTCATATAGCCAGGATACTCTTAGTAAAGAGACAGGAGATATACCTGGACTGTATTGGAATTATATGGCAATTAGTTCAGCATGTTTATCACAAACCACAAATGTCTTATAGCTTGTTAATTTCATGATGAAAAAATAAAAAACTGTGCTGTTTAATCTGCCACGCTATGTGATGCTATGCAACTGCTTGCAGAAGCTGTCGTGGCTCTGCATGCTCAATGTCAATCCATGCACAAATAAAATAAAGAATTTAAAAAAAAAAAAGTAAATTTGGGGTGTGCACTTCATATATGAGAGTCAAATAGAACCTTCAAATACTGTGGTTACATCGCATTTTGAAAAATTCGAATTTTTTTGGTGCTAAATAGTACATTTGCTGCCTGCGGTGCACTTCATATCTGAGAGTCAAATAGAACCGTCAAATACTGTGGTTACATCGCACTTTGAAAAATTCACATTTCATTGGTGCTAAAAAGTACATTTGTGGCGTGCACTTCATATCTGAGAGTCAAATAGAACCGTCAAATACTGTGGTTACATCGCAATTTTAAAAATTAAAATTTTTTGGGTGCTTAAATGTACATTTGCTGCCTGCGGTGCACTTCATATCTGAGAGTCAAATAGAACCGTCAAATACTGTGGTTACATTGCACTTTTAAAAATTCAAATTTTTTGGGTGCTAAAAAGTAAATTTGGGGCTTGCACTTCATTTCTGAGAGTCAAATAGAACCATCAAATACTGTGGTTACGTCGCAATTTTAAAAATTCTAATTTTTTTGGTGCTTAAATGTACATTTGCTGCCTGCGGTGCACTTCATATCTGAGAGTCAAATAGAACCGTCAAATACTGTGGTTACATCGCACTTCGAAAACTTCTAATTTTTTTGGTGCTAAAAAGTTAATTTGTGGCGTGCAGTTCATATCTGAGAGTCAAATAGAACCATCAAATACTGTGGTTACATCGCACTTTGAAAAATTCAAATTTTTTGGGTGCTAAATAGTACATTTGCGGCCTGCGGTGCACTTCATATCTGAGAGTCAAATAGAACCGTCAAATACTGTGGTTACATTGCACTTTTAAAAATTCAAATTTTTTGGGTGCTAAAAAGTAAATTTGGGGCTTGCACTTCATTTCTGAGAGTCAAATAGAACCGTCAAATAGTGTGGTTACATCGC